TAATATTGAATATATCAAGTTTGAGATGTCTTTGAGTTTGGTAATATCCCCATTTTATAGGAAAGAAAATTAAAACATAAGGAGGTTAAGGAATAGACAAAGTCACACACCACACATCCATTTTCAGTATCAGTGAAGTCTTTTAGCTGCATAAATGGTTCAACTCTTGTGATAAACTCCATTTACTTTTGCTTTATTTTTGTTTCCATTGTTTTGGGTTGTCATTTGAAAACTGAAGAAACCTAGTAAAAAGTTTTGAAAATTATTGAGATGTTTGGAATAAGTGTGTAATGCAAATGCATTACACATTCATCAAATGAAGCCAAACTATGTCCCACTTTGAGTGGAGTTTGTTTCCTACTTATCTATTTGAGTTGAGAAGACAAGGCTAACTGCATAAGGTTCAGTCCATAAACAGCCAGTTGTTTAGATGCAACCATATGCAAAACTCTCTGAACCATATGGGTTGAGCACAGAGAGAAAGAGAAACATATGTAAAAGAAGTTTGAAGAGGAGCCTAGGAGACAGCATTTTGGGCTCATGAGATTTTGGTATTTATTCTTTTATAAGCAAAGGATTGAATATTTTTTTAGGGATGATAATATGACAAATATGAATTTTCAAAGAATAATCCTAGAATATGGAATTATGAATTAGAAGATGTAAGGTGAGTATAGAATTGGTACTCCTCACATAAATGATACTATTGTAGAATAAAGCAATGCAGATACTAATGTAGAATAAAGCAATGCATACTAAGAGCTACTTACTAATCAAAAAGCTGTAGGAGCTTCTGATGGAATATTGTGGAAGAGTGTGGGGAAGATGTCAAGGATGACTTCTGGATCTTTATGCTGTGTAACAATATTAATGATGGTACTTTTACTGAGATCATTGGAAAAAATCAAGTGTGAGGTAGAGAGCAGATCATGACTTTAGTTTTGGATAAATTGACTTCATATGCACTTCAAAGATAAAAATAATCAAGTAGGCAGGAGAGTATGTAAGTCTGGAGCTCAAAAGAGATATATAGGCTCTAAATAGAACTGAGTGAATCATCAGAATAATCTGTCTATTAACCAAAGATGTGCTTGTTTATAATTAAGAGAGAGGAAGCCTAAAAACTTATCTTCAAGGGACTTCAACATTTATTGGTTGGAAAAAAGATGAATTGTGAAAAGGAGATAAGGGAAAAGGCAAATCCAGAGATGTAGGAGGAAAACCAAGAGAATGTAGTGTCACCCAACCAATATAACAGAATGTTTAAAGGAGAGGCCACCAGTGTCGACTAACTGTAGGAGATAAGGTGAAAATAATGCAGAAGGGTCTTTTGAATTTATTGGGGTGGAGAGAATTTGTGATTTAGGAAGACCTGGCTTAATGGAGGAATAAAAACAGATTAGTAATAAAGTGGCTAAGAAGTCAGTAGGAGGTGATAAAATAAACCCATGGCATATAAGCCAGTGTTTTGGGAAATTAAACTAATAGGGAATAGAGAATGATAAAATTATAATTGGCTCTTGAACAATATGAGCTTGAATGTGCAGGTCCACTTGTATGTGGATTTTTTTCAATAAACATATTGGAAAAATTTTTGGAGGTTTTTGACATTTTCAAAAAACTCCCAGATCAACCATATAGCCTAGAAATATAAAAAAAATATAAGAAAAAAATAGTTATGTCATGAATGCATAAAATATATGTAAATACTAATCTATTTTATCATTTATTACCATAAAATATATACAAATCTATTATAAAAAATTAAAATTTATGAAAACATACACACGGAAACACTTACAGACTATGCATGGCACCATTCAGAATTAAGAGAAACATAAACAAACATAAAGATGTAGTATTAAATCTGCATAAAATTAACTATAGTACATTCTCTACTTCTGTAATAATTTTGTAGCCACCTCTTGTTGCTATTGCAGTGAGCTAAAGTGTTGTGAGAATCCACTTAAAATGCTGTGTAAAGCTAATCATCTCCTCCTGAGCAGTTTGTCTTGCCAGTAAATTACACATTGCAGTAAAAAGTGATCTCTTGTGGTTTTGCATATTTTCCCTGTGTTTAGTGCAATGCTGTAAACCTTGAATAACACCATGAGACTCATGAAGTGTCACTAGTGATGCTGGAAGTGCTCCCCAAAAGCAGATAAAGTCATCACTTACAAGAAAAAGTTGAATTTCTTAATATGTAATGTAGATTAAGGTCCACTGCCTACCATTTCAAGTTGCCTACCATTTCAAGATAAATAAATTCAACATAAAGACTACTGTAAAAAATAAAAAAAGAAAAGGAAATTTGTGAGTCTATTGCTGCAGCTATGTCAGCAGGCATTAAAACCTTGCACTTTTTGCAAAATACCTTTTATCTCCTATTGAAAATTCAGCTTTTATGTGGGTACAGAATTGCTATTTAAAAAAGCACACCTATAGACTCCAGTGTGATTCAAGAAAAAGTAAAGTCATTATATGACAACTTAACCAAAAGGAAGGTGAAGGATCTAAAGCTGGAGATTTCATGCCAGTAAAGGATGGTTTGATAATTTTAAGCCAAAAAAGTTTGGCTTAAAAATAAATGTCAACATAACAGGAGAATCAGATTCTGCCAACCAAGAAGAAACTTAGAAGAGTTTTCAGATGCCGGAGAAAGGATATCTACTTCAACAGTTTTTTAATGCAGATGAAAATGACATATTCAGGAAAGAAAAAATAACACAAAGGACATTTATTAGTAAGGAAGAGAAATGAACATCAGGATTTAAGGCAGTACCAGTTAGGCTAACTCTACTGTTTTGTGAAAATACAGTTGGCTTTATGATTAGAACTGCCATTATCCATAAAGCTGCAAGCCTTGTAGCCTTGAAGGGAAAAGATAAACATGAGCTACCCATCTTTTGGTTGTACAGCAAGAAAGCCAGGACGAGAACTCTTTTTCTGGATAGATTCTATCAATGCTTTGACCCTGAATTCAGGAAGTACCTTGTCAGAAGTGACTACCTTTTAAAGTTGTTTTGATACAGAACAATGCCTCGGGCCACCCAGAATCCAATGAGTTCAACACCTAAAGTGTCTATCTGCTCCCAAACACAATGTCTCTAATTTGGTCTCTAGATTGGTGGTCATAAGGACCTTAAAGGTTCATTACATGAAGTACTCTACGGAAAGAACTGTCAATGCCATGGAAAAGAACCCCAATAGAAATGACATCATGAAATTCTAGTAGAATTATACCATTAAAGATATCAATCATTATTATAGAAAAAGTTCTATGAAAGCCATCAAGCCCAAAACAATAAATTCCTGGTGAATAAAATTGTGCCCAGATGTTGTGCCATGACTTCACAGGATTTATGACAGAGCCAATCGAGGAAATTATGAAAGATATTATGAATATGGCAAAAAGGATGGGGGGGAGGTGAAGAGTCTCAAAATTTCAATCTTGAATTCAAGGCCTAATAGACACTACATGAAAAGAATTAACAGAAGGCATTTTGATAGAGATAAGTGCCTCCAAACCAGTGCCAAATGATGAGGAATAAGATATAGATGAAGCAGTTCCAGAAAACAAATTGACACTAGACAATCTGTCAGAAGGGTCCAATTATTCAAATCTGCTTTTTACTGCTTTTATGACATGGACTCTTCTGTCATATGGACATGGAAACTAAAGCAAATGGTAGAAGAAGGATTGATGCCATATAGACACATTTTTAGAGAAGTGAAAACGCAAAATAGACAGAAATTACCATGTATTTCCATAAGTAACACCAAGTATGCCTACCTCTCTTGCCTCCCCTTCCATGCACTCTACCTCTCCTGCCTCTGCCACCCCTGAGACATAAGACCAATGCTTTCTCTTCCTGCTTCTCCTCAGCCTACTCAATGTGAAGCTGGCAAGGATGAAGATCTTCATCATGTTCTACTTCCATTTCATGGAGAGTAAATGTATTTTCTCTTCCTTGTGATTTTCTTAATAATGTTTTCTTTTCTTTAGCTTACTTTTTTTGTTAAGAATACAGTATATATAGTACTACATATAATGTACAAAATAGGTTTTCATTGACTGTTTATGTTATTAATAAGGCTTCCAATCAACAGTAGGTGATTAGTAGTTAAAGTTTAGGGGAGCCAAATATTATACGTGGATTTTTGACTGCATGGGATTTGTTGCCCCTAGTTCTAGCATTGTTCAAGGGTTATCTGTGTATCTTGTGGTAAAATGAGGTCAAGAGAGGTTTATTAACATAGTATTTCTATAATATTTCTTTCCAAATATATAACTTATTATCATAAAAATTTTTAAATGATAAGCAAAGCTATACAATGAAAAGTACTTATATTTCTATATTTTATCAACACAGGGTATTATTAAATTATTTGTTATTTGATAATCTTATGATTGAAAATACCATCATAATATTTTAATTTGTAGTGTTTTACTTATGAATGAAATTGTACATTTTTTCGTATATCAATAAGTAGTATATATCTCTATTTTCTGCAAGCTACCTATTCCTGTACTTAGTCCATTTTTTGTTTATTTTTTTATATTGATTTATAAGGACTCTTTCTAAACTAAAGAAAGTAGTTCACTGACATGTGTTGAAAACATTTTTACTCTTGTCATTTAATTTTGACTCTATGACATTTGACAATGGCAAACTTTCTATATTTTTTCATTTCAGAATATTATGGAGGTACACATATTTTAATTACATAATTTGTTTTCTATAGTTTCAGTCAAAGTCATGAGTGTGCTCTTCACCCAGATAGTGTACATTGTATCCATTCATTAACTGTGAATTTACCCATCTCCTCTTCCCCCTCCCACCTGCTTGATTTCCATTGAGTTTCACTTCCATGTGTACACGTAAGTGTTGATTGATTAGTTCCAATTTAGTATTGAGTACATGTGGTGTTTGTTTTGCCATTCTTGTGATATTTCACTTAGAAGGATTGTCTCCTGTTCCATCCAGGTTTTTCAAAAGATGTTTATAGCAGCACAACTCCCAATGGCAAATATGTGGAAATAATCCAAGTGCCCATTAATATATGAGGGGATCACCCTCTATATTTTTTAGACATTTTCTTCTTTTATGACTCAGAAGATCTGTATGTTGCACATAAAGTCTAGTCCCCAAAGATCTGTTTGTTTAATTGGTTGTTTAATTTTGATATCCAGGTAGAATAGGGGATTTAATTAATGAAGAGGAAGCAATTAATAGTATAAAATCCCTAAAAATGTGAGAATGGGTGTCATTTAAAGCACAGGTAGAGAACAAGTTGGGGTCAACTCCAGAATTAGAATATAAATTTGAAAAGTATGATGGAGCAGGTATATTTTAAAGCTTTGAAAATATAAAAATCACTTGATAGCCTCTCTTTTCTTTGTAAATTTGGAAGCAGGTGAAGAAGGAAGCGCACGTGCATGTGTGCATGCGTGCGTGCGTGCGTGTGTGTGTGTGTGTGTGTGTGTGTGTCTAGGAACGTAGGTTGAGAAGTTGTCAGAGGAGATTGGAGAACCAGGAAAACTATACTCCTAATAAGTGGTTTCATATATTATATTTTAAAAATATTACTCTATGTGTTATAATCAATGAGGAGAGGAAGATTTGGTTACATTAGGATGAAAAATGTGCTTAAAACAGCAGCAAATTTAACATTTGTCCATGTACTGTCATATGAAATATTGCAATGAATTTTCACAGTCAGAATTTTAAGGTTGATTAAACAACAGCTCTGTTCTTGAATTAATAACCAGTAGAAAGCAGCCATGAATTTAATGTACATTAGCTAATTGGAAACCAAGTCTTTGATTTGTGACCTAATGAACTTCCTAACACTGTCCTCCAACACCAGAGTTACAGGCAGGGATGGACAATCACCAGACTTTCCTGCTTTAGTAGATTGTGTTCAGCATGACAACCCAAAACTCTTAGATTCAGAGAACAGACTGCTCTATAAAAAGAATAGATTGAGTCACACATGCCCAACCCCTTCTGCAGTATTACCAGACAGGTAAGTCACTATTCCTAAGAGAGAAAGGAGGGGGGTGGAGAGAAGCTGGGTGTTTTCCTTTCATGCTTTTCTCTCCTGGAGAGTGAAAATCCCTCTCAAACACCCCTGAAATGTGAAGAGTGAGATATTTCCTTTATCTCTCACAAGTCACTTCTGAAGTGAGTAATATCAACTAGACTTTATAGATGGAGAATTTGAAGCTCAGAAACATTACTTATCAATGGCAACTCAACTTACTAGACTTGGAAGGTGCTATGGGTCTGACAACTGGGAATGCCCACTAGTAGAACAGAGGGCCTTGATGTTATTGGACAGAGAAGTATTCCTATGTGAAGGATGAAACCAACCAATGACTTTGAAAACCTCTTCCAACACTAAAGCTTGTGCTTTAAAGGCATCTGCATCCTAAAGGGTCCTGCTAGCTTTGGGACTGATTGTACTTTTAAAAGTTGTTTAGATAAAAAATTTTAAAATATCTGGATAATAATAACAGGTATGTATGGAATGATCTTTGTTTAGCAAGCACTGTCTAAGTGGTTGGTTTCCAGGTATTAATTTATTGACTTTTTATAACAATCCTATTTGGAAGCTGTTTTTATTAACCTCATTTTAGGTTAAAGAAACTAAAGTACAGACAGACAATGAATTTGCTCAAAATCACACAGATAGTGACAGTGATGACATTCAAAGGTAACCTGTATCCTTAACCGCTCTGGTAAACCATCTCAGGATCTTTGATAATTCTCAATTTCAAATTTGATCCTTATCCCATAAGATATTAATATATTTTTCTATTACAAAGACAGATAATTTCTAACAAAGAAAAATATAGAAAGTTGGATTGTTCAGGTTACTTTTCAAAAAAAAATTAATAAAACCTGGACAATTTACTGTAAACCAGAAAATTCAAATGATTATATGGACTATTCAAACTGTGCTACTATTTTTCTGGGAAAACTCTGATAAAATTTTAATTTTTAGTAAATAGAAAAAATTTAGGTTGCTTTGTAAGTGTGTATAAATATCTGAGGAGAGATGAAGGCAAACATATGATTCTGTAGTGAAACCAGGTGAAATACATCTGCTGTTCTATTATTTTCTAAAAGACTGATATGATTTAATAGAATTCACAGATGTAAACTCTATATAATTATATACATATGTGTGTGTATATATATATGTGTGTGTATATATATATATATATATATATATATATATCTGTTAGTTGAAGGGCACTGTGATAAGTCATTCTAAAGCAGCAGCTGGTAATCAATCTAAGGTCTCTGGCAGAATCCAGTTCTCTTTCTGTTTTTGTAAATAAAGTTTTATTGGCACACAGCCACAGTCATTCACATAATGTCTATGGTTGCTTTGGGACTGTAACAGCAAAGTTGAGTAGAAATAACCGAGACCATATATATCTTGTAAAGTCTTAATTATTTACTATCTTACCCTTTACAGAAAAAAATTTTCTGACTCCTGAGCTTTTTCATTTGTAAAGATGGCTCTGCTTAACTACACAATAATAATAAGACTTACACTTTCAATATTTACTCAAAAGAAGTCACGATATGCACATAAACTCCACCTTTTTTTCAATTATTTTTGAGATTGGAGAGCTTCTGATAAATTATGACATTAGATAGTCATAAGAGTGTTAGTTAAAGTGAGGAGTACAGGCTTGACTGCTATGTTTCTCAGTGAAGAGAAGACCAAGAACAAAGGAGCCGTTTTTGACTTCAGCATCCTGCAATATAATGTTCAAAGCAATTGGAACAGACAATGCATTTGAAATACCTCCTTATTCAACCCTGAGTGATTTGATTTTACCTAAAATAAAAGAGTGTGCTAAGTTTAATAAGGAATGTACTCTTTAGGTGTCGATATTAGTCTCTTCTAAAATAGTTATTTTTACTCTTCTCATTTGTTAAATTGGACTGATGACATGGATTGAAAATGACTTCTTTATTTTCCTCTCTACCCATCTTCCTCATTTGCCTAAGAGATATTTTTTTTCTAAAAAACAAATTTAATTGTGTCATTCTTCCGCATAATAATCTGAGTTGACTCTCTTTTGCCATCATATTCAAATCCATAATGTGGCATATGCCTCCCTATAAAATATGGACCAAATCTGCCAATCATTTCCTATCACACTCAGAGGTAAGATTTAAAATATTTAACAACTGGTAAGACATGAGTCCAATCAGAACAGATACAAAATATAACCAGTGGGTAAATTCATACTGATGCATATCAGCTGAATATCAGAACTGAGACACTTCTACACCCTCCACCTCTACCAAGTCTTCACTTTCCTATATCTAAATTATTATAATTACCCAAACTTACCAAGCTTACAGTATCAATTACACTCTTTCCCCCCAGAATGACTTCCCTGTCTTTTACCTATAAACTTAGGTGTATCAGGTAACACATTTTCTGACAGTTTTGAAGACTTTCTGAACTCCAGTAGGACTTCCCCAGACTTCTTGAAGTCCCTTTTAATTTTTATTTTTTGGTTTTCTCTTTCTCTTCCTCACTAGAATATGACCTCTTTGAAAGCGCGGGCAAAAGTTTGTTAATCATCATGCTTTTCATACTTAATGTATTGTAAATATTTGAGAATGGCTGAAACTGCAGAGAAAAAAACAAGTTTGGCAGTTATATAGAAAAAGGTTTTCTCCAACATCAGTGAGTCTAAGTAAAAGGCAAATTTCCCGGGCTCTAAGAGTAGAAAAACAGACTGAATGCATGCTCTTCTGCAAGGAAGTCAACCAAAAGTCTGCTAGTGGAGAGCAGAGGTAATTCCCTATAACATACTCCCCATGATTTTATAAGGTCTACTTCATAGTTTTTAGTATAGAATGGTGAGCTCTGGGTTTTGCAAAACACATCAACGAAGAAATGAGTAATTTCTATGAGGCTTATCCATGCATTCAATCACTTGCTATGGGAAATGTCAAATGATTAGTAAAGTGGTGAGACAAGGAAGACCATAGACATACTTGGATACATGTTTGTGCTATTTTCAAGGAAGGCTTCATACATAGGTTTTGGTTCCTTTCAAAGAGAAAGAAAATGGATTTTGTTTTTTCAGTACTCTGACCTTGTATTATTAGGCTTGCCAACTAAGAAGGTAAATGTTGATTAGAAATGGTCCAGTCATTAGTTCAGGAAACTTTATTTATTTTTTTTATTTTGAATTTTTCCTTACATTTATTTTTCACTCAAAAGAATACTTCTATTGAGGGGGGAGGTGGGCATGGGCAATATACGTAACCTAAACACTTGTACCCCCATAATACGCTAAAATAAATAAATAAATAAATAAATAAATAAATAAATAAATAATAATACTTCTGATTTTCCAACCCAATTGGAATTTTTAGGTAGCTTTTTATTATTGACTTCTAGCACAATTACATTATCAGAAATATGCAGTGTGATTTTATTTCTCTGAAATATATTGAGATTTGCTTTATGGGCAAAAAATACAGTTAAATTTTGTGTGCTTAAAATGACTGCATCTTGAACAGTTGCTGCACAAATAGAAAGATGTTAGATAGATAATAAATAAATATGGTTGAGGTGGTTTTCTATTAGAATCTTCCACATGTCCCTGGTGTTTTGGTGCTTATTATATGAATTGTTGAAGGAGGGGTGTGAAACCTCCCACTCTGCTTGTGTGTTGGGTCCTTCCTGAGGTTCTGTCATCATTCACTTTCTATGTTTTGCAGGCAAGACTGACCATGGGAGCACTGGGGAATTGGGGAAGGAAGGAAAGGCCCAGCAGTAGGGACAGGGGAGCTGGGTTGGGGAGGATGAGAAATCAGAAGGTGAGGAAAGGTTCCAGAGAGAATCTGTCCTTGACAGCACCTGGTGAGGCTGGGGTGGGGGAGGGGGTGTCCTCAGAATTGGGTGAGGTCACACAGGGGTGCCCATTGTGATGCTCTAAGGGCAGGCAGCTGATTGGTCCACAGGGAGTATAAAGCATCCACAGGGAGTATATAGCAAAGACCACACAGGAGTAAGGTTTGGAGGAAAACAAAGCTCTGTTCCCCTCCAAATTATCCTGAGTGTCCCACTCACCTGCCCCTTTCTGATTGCTTTCAGCAAACCTGCTCATATCTTGACCTGTCGCTAAGCCCTCATCCCTCTCCTCAATGGCTTCCTTTGACCCCAATACTTCCCCAGACCCTTCCTCCTCTTCCTCTTCCCAGGTGCCCAACACCCCCTTCCCTCCATACCACCCCCCAGCCCAGGCTCTCTTCCTCTCTCCAATTGCAACCTATGCTCTTTCCCAGCCCTGACACCATCAGTCCCCCTCCCCACCCACTGACCCACCCAACCTCCTTCCTGGAGACCTCAGGGCGTCCTGAGAGGACTCAAATATGGATATGAAGAGGCTGTTCTTCCTGATCCTCCTGCTCAGCCCTCCGTGTCACCAGACCGGGAATGTGAGTAAACACTGGACTCTCCCTTTATATCAGAGTGTGTCACACTGTGGTTTACATAACAGCGTTTCAAGGGGGCTATGAGGGGAACTCCGTCCTCCCTGCAGACCAAGGACCTCAGGGCGGGTGTCTTGAGCACCCTGGCAGCTCTGCCCACACCTGTGCACATCAAGGTGGGCTGGTCCAAGCATAGGAAAGGGTGACAGTGTGGAACATGCAAATAGTGACTGTACTGTCATAAAGGAAGGATTTGGGAATACACTAAAAGCCACTGACTGCAGGATTCACTGGTGGGCATTATGTAGTATGTGACTGCATCTCAATAAAGTTGTTTTAGAAAATAAAAGGAATTCTTTCTGAATAGGCTTCATGGGCATTCAACCGGCTCCTGGAAGCCCTATGTGAGATTCTCCTCAATTTCTGCAAGTTTTGGTGCTGTCTCATGTGTTGTTGTTTCCCTACAAGTCCATCATTCATATATGGAATCTTGGCAGCCCGGGGCACTGAGTTCGGGACACTTTAAAGCTTTATTGTCTTCTAATATCTTCTCAAGCTATGATACAAATTCTTATTTTTTCAAGATGATTTTTACAGATTCTCTAAATTTAACTTCTTTTGGATCCACAGTATGTTTTCTTATTATTTTTTCTTTCAAAATATTAAGGGGGGGGGTTACACATGTTTTTGTTACATGAATATCATTTTTTTGAGTTTTTTAAATTATTATTTTTTTATTTCATCATATTATGGTGGTTCAAATGTTGTTAAGGTTACATATATTGCTCTTGCCTCCCTTCCCCGTTGAGTCAGAGCTTCAGGCATGTCCATCCCCCAGATGGTGCTCATTGCACTCATTATGTGAGTATATACCCATCCCCCCCACCTTCCTGACACCCAATAACTGTTTTTTTATTGTTGTCATTGTTGTTGTCTGACATTTTGGTTAGGAAGAGGCAAAGATATACAATGAATACCTTTTATAATGCTTAAATCAGGGCTTTTGGTGTGGTCATCACCCAAATAGTGTTTTACTTGTTTATTTGTAATATGTTTGTAAAGATACTGTATTGATATAACAGAAACTCAAGACTATTTTCCAAAACCAAATCTCAAAATCAAAACTTTATTTTTATTAATATATGCCTTTTCCTCTTTGAGGCTTTGCAATGTGCCCATTCATCTTTTTATCATTAGATTACTATAAGTAGACATTATATCAATGAATATTTTCTAATTTTTTCATTATCTTTTATTTTTCCTTTCCATTGTCCCCTTTTTTTATTTCCTCTTTCTTTTTCTCCCTCTCTCTTCCTCCCACCTCTCTACCTCTTCCCCAACAATATGAATATGAATACCTCTTCCCTCTCTTTCTTACATTTCTCTTTGGTTTTATAATCAACAAAACACTCATTTTTACCCAATATTTATTTTGATTTATTGACTCTAATTATGTTAAACTTTGCCATTCTTTTTATGTACATAATTAAATATATGTTTTTAAAATTTTATAGTTTATGGATTTCTTTCCTTGAGCAAAAAGGTTTCTCTGAGAACCAGGAGACTTTTGTTTGCTTGTTTTGTGCCTTTACTCATTTAATCCAACTAGAATTTTTTTTAGATTAAAATCTGCACAGTTAGATGTCCAGTGTTATTTTCTTTGAGGTTAGATGTTCAGATGTGTCTGCATGACCTATTAACTAAATCATTCTTTTTTGCTGAAATAACAATGATGCTTTATATTTTCATATGTCAAATTTAAAACTTTACGTAGCTGCAACTACAGGCACATGCTACCATGCCTAGCTAATTTTTTTTTTTTTGCTAAATTTTTTTGTAGAGATGGAGTCTCAGGTAATCCTCCTTCCTTGGTCTCCCGAAGTGCTGGAATTATAGTTATAAGCTGTATTAAAGTAGATGTGAATGACACTGTCCTTAGCTCATTGGTTAAGTTATTTACATAAAAATTTCATCTGAGTTGTTTACCAAGAGGTTTCTTTGTTTTGGTTTCCAGATGTCTTCATTTCTCAAGCAAAAAACCCAGATATTTGTCATTTGTACAAATATCTTATGCAGCCTGAGAAAAAAGTGTTGTGTTTTTTTTAAATCCATTACAAATAAATCTCTCACCTCCTACAAAGAATCTTAGTTCTAATGATATGCCAAAAAACTTTTAATATGTATTTACATTTAATATGATATCTCAAAAGATTTTTATAACCTGACACTTCCATGTTTACATTTTTGCTGTTTCTACAGCAAGCTTGCCTATGTTGCAAAACAATTGAAAAAACTGGTTGTTAACCCTCCTGGGAGAAAATTTTATTTCTAAAAATCTACACAATTTTATGATTTTCAAGTAGGCAATGGGGATTTTTTTAAATGTGTATTTTAAGGCAATATCATAACCATAACAGTACCAATTCCTTATATTTATTTAGTGTTTTAAATATTATAAAATGCCTTTACGGGCATTATGCCATTTAGTTCACCTTATCCAACAAATACATGATAGTCACCAGTGATAATATATCCAGATGGTTGAAAATAGACATTAGTCACCCAAATATACATTAGACACAGACTAGTAGCTGCCAAATGCAGGTCTATAGGCCTTTGGAAGACTTTAATGAAATTTTCATAGGTCCAATGTGAAATGGGAATAAATAAATAAAAACAATAATATGTATATATAATTATCTGTAAATATATGTGTGTCTGTGTGTTTGTAGTTGCTGACTGCCTTTATTTTAAAAGAATTTTTTCATTCATTCATTCCTTCAAAATTATCAATTTGGTATTTACTATGTTGCAGGCACTATACCCAAAATATAATGTAGCAAAAAATCTGACATATCTTGGTTTTTATGGAGATTAAGGTCTAAGAAAAATAAAAAATAAATAGATTTATCTAGTTTTAAAGTTTGATAAGTACAGTGAAGAAATAATCTTTATTTATTTTTGGAAGTAAAATACTCTTTCTTATATTAAATCATTATATTATACTCTTTCTTTTATGGTAATTTGTTTTGCCAAAAAATGGCAAATTATAAGATCGAATTGCCAAAGCTGTTGGTCCTAAATCATTTTGTAGCTATAATGGTGTCTGTGAACCACTATTCAAGTCATTCCCTAGGTGTGCATATACCTGTAGGATATTATTCCAGAAGGAGAAATGATGACTTTAAAAACCACCTTGACACCTACTGTGAGACTCATTCTTTTCTTTTATATAAAGGTAATTATTTCTTCTTATATAACCCAGTAACTATCAAAAAATATATAATGTATTTTGTTTCAAACTCAGAAAGTAGAGTTTAGTTAATATTTATAACAGTGTTTGAGCATGCAGTATGTTAACAGGTAAATTAAAATAAAGATGACTAGAAATATTAAAGAAAATATGTAATGTTATTTGCACTAAAATCCACCACCTTAATTTCTTTCAGTGTTCCTTCAAAAATATATAGTGATAATCTCTTATGGTTAGAGCCAGTATTTGCCCTAATTTATCTTAATTCCAAAAGCTGCAATCATTTGAGTCCAGTTTGTCTTCCCACTTTCATATTTTGAGTGATTCATTCATATTTAAAACACAAAACAGCTTTTTCAAATGTCTAACGTTCAATATATCCCACTTGTGACTTGTGTTGTCAATCTCTTACAAGCATCATTGAGGTATTATGAGAGAGGCCCACAGTTGTATGTCGAATTATATCTACTTCCTCATCTTGATAAAAGTCATAGAAAATGTTGATTTGCTGATTTAAGACATAAGTTATTTTTCAATTAATATAATTAAGATGACAGAGAGGCAGGACTTGCCAGGGCAGGTAAGACTGCCTCTGGTCTTCATGAACGGATTGGGCTCATGCAAACATAGTGCCTCTGGAGGAAACACTGAAAGCAACTGATAACAAGGATGAAAGAGTAAAATCCTTTCCACCTTGTTTGGGCAATGTTCACAGAAATAATGTAAATCAAGGAAGAAGAAACTTGGCAGTAATTAAGAAAAACAAATCGTAACTCAAAGGATGTAAGATCCAGCTTAGTTCATCTTTATCCCATTAATTGAAATAACTTGCATGATCCAGAGCATAAATTGAATAGCTAACAGGGAGGCATTAAAAATAAAAGTTGTGTATGAGAACATAAGAAAAAAAGAAAACACATCAGACAAGGCACTATGAACTGTGCATAGTACTTAGTTTCAGATTGCATTCTTGGTCAGAAGTGAGCTCATATGTATTAACTCAGCTGTTATATCTCTAAGATTAAATACATGTTTGAGTTTATACATATGACTATGGATGTAGTATATGTAACTCTGGAAATGAACATGCAATACAAACATATGACTCAGATGATGGGAGTTAAGAATGCTCAGTTTAACATATACATATACTTATGCATCTACACACACATACACACATGTAGATGCTGATTAAAAATTTAGAGCTTTCTAAATAAACTCTACTGGTTGTGTGTGGGTTGGTGGGGTGGAGGGCAATTAGTATAGTGATCCAAAGGGACGAAAGGATTTTTTCATGCAATCTAGCCCTGCAATTTCTAATATGTTCATCAAAGACTGCTAATATCCTCAGTCCTTCTCTACAACAGAGTATTCTGTGAAGCCCATAAAAGCCAATCAGAACAATTTCCAATAATGAAGGCAAATTAAACACTGGCATTTAATCCATTTTTTCCTGAATGTCTCCATCCTGAATAAAGAAATGTTTTTTTCCTAAATTATACAAAGGTAAAAAGAATGGAAGAAGACATGAAAACAACACAAATTTTAAAATAGAGAAGTGGTAACTAATTTGGAAAGACAGCTAAATTCTCAGCCATGAAGCAATCTAATACGCAGTTTAGAATCTTCCAAAGCTCAGAAATTTGTGATGGCAGTTACATCTGGAAGCCAGGAAGACAGTAAGACTATAAAAAGCAAAAGTAATTAAAAGTTTGTTTAGGCATTAAATATCCCCAGAATCCCATCTAACTGG